GCGGGCTCCGCGCCGCCCCCCGCGGCGCTGCTCCCCGCGTAGCCCCTCAGCGCGCGGCTCGGCCCCCCTCGCTGCGCTAAAGGGAGGGGAGCGAGCCCTGAGCACCGTTYGAGGGGGGCTTAGTCGAGCCCGGAGCCCTTGGTGCCCCACCTAGGACCGAGACCTAGGATAGCCCTGCTTGGATGAGCTGCTTTGCGAGTGACTTAATCTGCGAGCAAAGCTGCGTGCCCGCCTGTGTGTGGATCGGGTAGCACTGCGCGCAGGGTGCGCTCCGGCGGCCCTGGCACTGCGGTGCAGGGAGGGCTCCAAAGGCGCCCGGGAGAGGGTTTTGTGCTGAGTAASAGATGCCGTATTTGCATAACTCTCCTCCCGGGTGGGTTTGTCCCTTATAGAAAGTGCTCGGCTGCGAGAGCAACAGGGCTGCAAACRTTTCTTTTTTGATAACTGTTTCTCAGGATTCAGGTCTGGAGGGAAGTGCTTTGCAGTGAAGCTTGGCTCACCTAAGAGCGTCACCTGAGAGGAAGGTGAGCGGAGGTGAAGAGGGGAGTTGTCCCCCGTTTGGGGCTGCAGTCTGGCAGGTGCCCGYGCTCGGGGGACTGCCGGTCTTGGAGGAGCAAGGGGTGCCGTTCCCCAGGCCCCTTCTCGCAGATTTGTGYTGTTTTGTATCGCCTGCTTTCTGCTGGATCAAGGAGCTCACTGGGGCAAATCGTGAGGGGAGAGCGGAGCGGGGATGAGGAGCGAATGGCTGCGTATACCTTGGCCTGGGAAAGGGCGGCAGCGCAGGTGCCGGGCGCCCGGCRCGCACCCAGGCACGACAGCCTCGGCCACTCGGCCCGGGCAGGGCGGCCGCCAAGGAGCCGCGGCCGAGGCCGCACTGAGTTCGGTGCTGGGTGCGCGTGGGCATTCCCGGGAGAGTGCGGTCCTGCGGGGGCTGCCGATGCTGCAGCATCAGCAGAGACAGCGAAGAAAGGCTCAGGCTTTCCTGAGGGAAGGTGGCTCTGAAAAGTATGGATGTGGGGTTGTTTTCAAGGAGAGGGAATCTGGCGAGTTTGGAACTTGCTTTCTTTGAGGCCCTGCTTTTTKGAGTTTGTTTCCGCAGCTAGTGGACGCCAACACTTCTCAAGCACTTCTCACATGGCTCTGGGAGTTGAAGTTTGAAGAGAGAAGGAAAGACGCTGTGAGAGCCATGGTACAACCAGAGGGTGATTTTGCTAGGGCTGAAATGTGCAGTGCCCACCATCCCCGGGCTGGCCGGGCACTAAGGACAAACAATCTATCCCAACTAGAAGGGAAAACTAATAAAACATACACTTGTTTTCCCCACACACCACCAATTCCATCGAAGTTTAACGCCTACTCCAAAGCGCATTGCACCTGCAAAAAGGACTCACGTGGACTCAAGTGATGGGCCCAGAGTCACACCGAGTTCTGCRGTCTTTCCGTACGTAAAACTCTGTGTGCCTGCAGTGGAAGTTGAATGATGCTACCTCCCATTGGTCTAATATTCTCAGCTGAGTTTATTTAATGCACTATAATGGGGCTTTTCATGCTACTGTAATTCACAGGATAAACAAGCCCTGTCTTCAAAGTTGATGGCCTAAGGAGATACATCTGCCATTTTGCAGCCCTTATCTTGAGGCTTCTGAGAAGGGCGATGGGTGCTGCAGCATATACAGCAAATACAGCAAATACAGCAAATGCAGAGCCTGCGCTACCAACACTCAGCATGTGCAAGTCAGGTTCAGTATGGTACATAGCAGGTAGGTAAGAAGTAACAAGCATTGATAATACATATTTGCACATAAGTGAACATATACTTAAGCCCTTCAGGTTCTTGACTATTGTTTATGGGTTGCTCTTTTTTGTGTTTGGTTTGTTGTTGTTTGGGG